AAAAAAAAAAAAAAAAAATATGGTACTTGGTCCATGGCAGTTTAGGTCAAGCTGTATATTATATGAGAAGCTAATGGCCCTGAGCTTCTGTCAATAACTTTTTTTTTCCCAGTAAAGCAGCAGCAATTCTTGTGACTCCATGACACATATTTATTAGAATTGAAATTACACAGCCAGCAGTCACAAAATAGTGGTGGTTGGCAGAGGTTGTACACATGATTTACATACTGTTTACGATAAAACTTTGTAAAAAATGCGAAGTGCTGGAGAACACTGATAACTGTAGGACGCTACAGTCTGTATACTAGAGCAGTTATTGCTTGCCTTAGGGTCAAGAAGATGGGTTTACTAAGATTCAAATTTTACTTTAATCAGATCTTGGAAAGAAAAATAACAAAAGCTTTTAAACAACAAATTCTGTACTACGTGCTTAGGGGCTGAGACTGGTTGCCATTGTAGTAATGTTTCAAGCTGGTTTTAGACTGTATTTCGTGTTGTTTGAGTCTCTTTTGGGTTAGGACTAAGACACTGGCTCTCAAGGGCAGCGTGCCAGGTCCAATTTAGCATCAGCTATTTCATGTCTGTTCTAGCTAATGAGTCCATTGATTGAATCATCACACAAACAAGGGACGAGCAGAATCACATAGGCTTGTGCTAATTATATGAAACGTGTCAAAGAGCCATTACATAATATATGTGTTATGTTTATATAAATATAAACACGTATATTGTTCTAGTATTGAGTAGAAGGTTGTGCTGATTATTCTCTTTGTTCCACATATTCATTCTCTACCCTTCTCCCCACAGAGGCTGTATCACAAGGGTCACTTGGCACTTGGTTTATGATTGGACTTGGCCAGTGAGAGGCACGAGAAGGGCATCAGAGGTTAGAGGAGAGGCCAGGATACTTATTTCTCTGCTACTGCCAGCCTTGCCTCCTGACTCTACTGGCACTAGTCCCTCGATTTTTCCTTCGGGACTAAGGGTGGCAAGGGTTTCCATCGGTTGCTACCCCCTGAGTACCTCTGCAGGCATTGATTGCTCCCTGAATCTTGCTCAGTTCTTTGTAAATCGTCCCCTAATTAAATTTTCTTCAGTTAAACTTTTTTTGAGTAGACTCTATTTCCCATCTGGACCCTGATAGAAATACAAACAGCAATTAGGATATTTTTGCGGTACGCGGGCCTCTCACTGTTGTGGCCTCTCCCATTGTGGAGCACAGGCTCCGGACGCGCAGGCTCGGCGGCCATGGCTCATGGGCCTAGCTACTCCGCGGCATGTGGGATCTTCCCGGACCGGGGCACGAACCTGCATCCCCTGCATCGGCAGGTGGTCTCTCAACCACTGCACCACCAGGGAATCCCAGGATTTTTAATTTATGATAGTCTAAGTACTTAAAATTAGCCATAATTGATCCCCCAAATGATAGCTGTCTACTCAATATTTTTAAATTAACTTCCTAAACTTTATTCAATTTGTTCAGTCTTAAACTGACTCTGAAAATGTTAAGAACAAACATTTCATAAGAACATAAATATTCCACATTTCACTGTGATTCAGATCTTTTGGTATAAAATTTTCAAGTGGCATTTTCATCACCTGTGTTTTTTGTCTGTTTGTTCGTTTTTTAATTTTGCTTTGTTTCTTTTCCTATCTTCAAACAAGGAAGCAGGGCCTTCCAAAAAGAATAATTAACTAGAATCCTAGGAGTCTTCAAAAAGATAATTCACTACCTAATAACATAAACTAAGTAGTATTTCTGAAAACCAACTAATTCAGCAGTTAGCAAATACATTTCAAAAAAATCTTACGGGAGTATTTAAATTTCCCATAATAAAGATACATCTTTTGTAGACAGTGTTTGAAAACATTCTGCAGAAATACAAAAGTGAACACTGAAAGTTCTTTCTGCTTCTCCTGGGTGTAGCAGAGTGTCTCAATTCAGAAATTCAGGATTATTAATTGACTTAAATTTTTTTTAAAAGTTCATATACTTATCCTTTCTATTTATTTATCTCTTTTAGTATTCATTTATTTATTTCTTCTACTCTTTTTTATATTACTTTATCTCTGAATTGCTTCTAGTATTTCCATCTTCCTAGCTTCTTTTGGTTTATTTAACTCTTTTTAAGGTGTCCCAGTAATGAATACACATCTCTTTACTTTGTCTTTTATTTTTAATAATAAAATTATGATTTCCTCTGAGTGCAGTTTTTTACCATACACTTATGTTTTCATTATAAAATGTTGCTATTCTATTTGATTTGTAAATAGTATGTAATTTTCTTTTTGCTTCCGTTTTGATTCACAGTAGCCAAAAGTATGTCTCTTAATTTTAATGTGATTATATGTTTGCTTAGCATTTTATTATTTACTTTTAATTTTACTGAATTATCATCAAAGAATGTGGCCTTCCTACGCTTTTTAATTTTTAGGATTGTCTTTACAGTCCATCAGCTGATCAATTTTTATAAATTTTCCTTGGACATATATAACAAATGTTTATTATTATTCAAAAAATGTTTTTAATTTATTTAATGCATTGATTTGTTAATTATTTATTCCAACTTTCTGTGGCTTTTTCTTTTGGGATTCAGTCTGATTCTGAATACTAAAAGAAAAAGTGTTCACAATATTTTTCATCACCTTCTTTCATTTTTAATAATTTTTAATATTCAGGTGCTATTTTGTTTGGCACATACATATTCACCAGATTTTACCACATAATTATAACAAGATATTTTTACTGGATAATTCCTTTTTGATCCTACTTAGTGCTTCTGCATTAAAGCCTACATCACCTCACATTATTCTTCCCAATCCCACTCCTTGTGTTCACTGTATTTGCTGTCACTACTTTGTCTATTCCTTTAATTTCAACATTTATTTCATTAATATAAGTGTGTATATTAAACATAACATCACTATTTTATTTTCATTTACTGAAAATTTGAATTTTCATTCTTTTCAGAGAATTCAGTGCTTACATATAGTGCTAGATTGACATACTTGATTTATCACTTCTATTTTAATTTGCTTCTTAATTTACTCTTTTCTTCCTTCTTTTTTCTGTACTTTCTATGAATAAAAGGTTATCTCCCTCCTAAAATCATAATAAAATATATTTCTCTATTATTCTATAAAAAATAAGATAGCCAATATCATCCTCCCGAGACGCATTATTTTATCTCTGCTTTCCTTACTCTATAATAAAATGAGTACATATGCCTCAAATATTAATTAAATATAGTTCTAACTACAACTACCCCTACAAAAGAAATATATTTATAGACTTTGAGAAAAAAGAGGTAACAATCTTACATTTTAAAATATAAAACACAGAGAACAAGTATAATACAAATCACGCATCTTACTTTAGGAGTTTTATTAAGGGGATGCATATGGTTAAAATAAATCTGGATATTCATGATGATGTTACCCTAAGAGTCGTGGTATTATAAAGATCATAGAGAAATGAACTAATATATAAATTAAATGGTTTTGAGATGACTATGCTATCTTACTCTTATATCTTTCTTTTATATAGCAAACCTTGATGGGTATTAAAGGAAATTTTATTTTTTGAAATTAAGGAATAAAATGCTCCACTGATTTCTCATGTAGAAATTATCAGGGTAAGGTACATTTTAATGATTTAATGTTTAGCTTTTTGTGGGATTTTATTAAAATAGGTCAAGAGAATTTTACAATTTATTAAAATGAGGCTCATTTCAATTCATAGAACTTTAATTTCAAAGCCTCAGCTACTCTGGTTGAAAAATATATAACTAAGTAAAAGAAAGAAATCTTTAAATATTCTATTGAGATTAATATAGCTATGCAAGATAGCTAAACATAGAAATAGAAGGAGTTATTGCATAGTACTATAGCATGGTACTAAATAGTACTGCATATATTACATCATTTTTTTTCTATTTTGTTATATAATTGCTCTACTGTTTAAGATCTCTACCAACAATAATCTGTATGGGTAAAGCATTGATAGTTAACTTTAAAGCAGACACTGTGTTGATTAAACAACTAAATGATGCGTTCGTACAATGTGCTACTCTAGACGCCAAAAAGGGTATCAGAGAATTGGTGAGGATCACCAATATGTCAATAATTGGTGAGAAATCTAGATGATAATTACTGACTTAAGAGGGTTTCTAATCAAATGTGAATTAGTGTGGGGTAATGTTGGAAGGAAGTAGATGAGAGAGGAGTGAAATGGATAAAACAAGGATAAACACATCTTGAAGTCCTATTAGATATGACTCATGATATAAATAATAATAATATTATAATATTAATGACATAATGCTCTTATACTTTAATTGTCTTCAAGCTTAACTGTCATTTGACTTACTTTCACTTGTTGAATAGTCTTGTGGGTCAAGTATTCCTGATTCCTGCAGTGATCTAATACAGGAGTCCACCAATTCAAGACCTGTTGTGAGCTCATCTTCGATATCTTTTTGACCATCTGAAATATAATATTTTAAAGACATGAACAAATACATGGTAATGTCAATATTAAAGCTTAAGACTATCATTTAATAATCAAAAATATCCTAACCAAAGATATTATCTTTTTGAAATTCTCATTAGATACCACATTGTAACCCTTGGTCAACCACCATTAAAAACCAAGGCTAGCCAAGTCTATGTATCCATGAAGAACATAAAGTTCCTAGGGAATTGGGAGAACTTAACTCCCACGAAATCTTGAGCTATCAGAACAGTTTCATCTAATTTTAGTGTCATGTGTTGTCATATTCATTTTCATAAGTCTCTTCCTAAAGTTCACAAGAAAATTAATCAATAGAGATATATGTAGCAGTAAGTATAAATGCTCATCAAGAAGCTGTACTTTCAATCTAAATGTCCATCAACAGAAGAATGGATAAAGAAGATGTGGGACGTATATATATATACAATGGAATATTACGCAGCCATAAAAAAGAGTGAAATAATGTCACTTGCAGCAACATGGATGGACCTAGAGATGATCATACTAAGTGAAGTAAGTCAAAGAGAGAAAGGCAAATACCATATGATATCACTTGTGTGTGGAGCCTAAAATATGATACAAATGAGCTTATTTACAAAATAGAAAACAGACTCACGACATAGAAAACAAACTCATGGTTACCAAAGGGGAAAGGGGGTAGGGGATGGATAAATTAGGAGTTTAGGATTAGCAGATACAAACTACTTTATGTAAAATAGATAAACAACAAGGACCTACTGTATAGCACAGGGAAATATGTAGAATATCTTGTAATAAACCACAATGGAAAGGAATATGAAAAAGAATATATATATATATATATATATATACACACACACACATATGAATCACTTTGCTGTACACCAGGAACTAACACAAAACTGTAAATCAACTATACTTCAATTAAAAAAAAGAAGCTGTACTTTACCTTGTGATTGCCAGTGAAACTGCTCTTCTGCTGAACTATAAAAGAGAGAATACATAGGTATAATGAATTGGCTAGAAACAAAAGAACTCTAAACTATAAGACACAAAGGCACATGAGGGTAGTAATGGTGGCTCCATGGAACTCCCTTTAATTTCTGACTGAGAAAAGGGATTCCATTTTAACATGATCTTAGCTTTAGTATGTTTGATGTATACCTCTTTTGAATCGCAGGTATTAGTATGTTATAAATGGACATCGTTCAGTAATTTTCAGAAGAACAGCTCATTCTTTACAAATCCCAACATATCATACTTATTCCTTACAATAATTTCTACATACATGCAGTTCTATTCAACTTTAGTCATTTTAAAATACAAATCTGAATAGTTTCATGTAGACTTTGTAAGGTATTCTAACAAAGAAATAACGTTCTCCATTTTCATTATAAAGAGATAAAATAAATCTATACCTTCTTCTAGACATATCATATAAGGAGTTCCTTTCAGCTGTTTATTATATTTTAAATTAAGTAATATAAAAGTTATCACTTTACACCAATTGAATTTACAGTTCCCAAATGCTCCCTTTATAAGTACATCTTATAAAATAACCCAGGTAGAAAGGGTTGCTCATCTAAATGATATGCCAAAGATACTGTGCAGATTTTAACGATGTAGGCACATAAATTTATTCTGAATGATTTATTAAAATACATAAATTTAAAATTTCTAAATATGAACAGCTCTTTCATTATATATGCAAATAGTTCCAACATATCCTTTTTTAATATGTCGATAATTTGTGAGAAATCTAGAGGCCAATTACTCACAGGTATCATTTTGAGAATGACTTTCTACCCTTATTTCACTAGATCTTTTACTCTGATCAAGCAGCTTCTATGAATAGCTCATCAGTTTCACAACAGCAAGTAGGTTTTAGAACTTTAATCTGTACCTTAGAGATGGCTTCTGAATACATTTGCTGGGGGAAAAGGAAATTCTGGTATAAATCAGCATTCAGAATAGCCATGATTGATATACATGAACATAAGAGTAGTCCCTTAAGAGACATATGACTTTTTTAGGCTATCTTTCTTCTCAGCCAATCCATTTTAGCAAAGTGGAAAATGGTTTTGCAATGATGAGAGCTATAGACAATTGATACATGAAATGATAACATTACAAATTCAGTCCAGTGCAACTTCTTGCTTCAAAAAGATATATAGCATGATAAAGTAGTAAGGTCTAACTGCAAAGTTTAACACTTAAAACAGAAATGTAATCCTATAATTAATATTTTAAAAATTACAAAGCATGTTCACTTAGTAAGTGGCATTTAATATAGGGGTGGAAAATGCTTTCATAATTGTAGTGAGTTGAATGGTGCCCTTCCCCCACAAAAGATATGTCCACACCAAATCCCTAGAAATTGTGAATGGCTACTTATTGGAAAAGGGTTTTCACAGATGTAATTAAGTTAAAGATCTTCAGATAAAATCATCCTAAATCCAATGACAAGTGTCCTTAAAAAGATCCTTAGAGGAGAAAGATGCAGAGGAGAAGGTCAGAGGCAGAGGCAGAGACTGGAGTTATGCATCTTTAAGCCAAGGAATGTCTGGAGCCAGCAGAACCTGGAAGAGTTAAGAAAAACTCCTCCCCTTTAGCCTTCTAGGGGACATAGCCCTGTCGACAGAACTTGATTTGAACTTCTGGACCCCCAAACTGTGAGATAATAAATGTCTTTTATTTTAAGCCACTCAGTTGTAGTAATTTGTTATGGCAGCCCAAGGAAGCCAATACAGTATTCTTCTGATACACTAAAAATGTTCTCATGCTATGTCCTTCAAGATTTACTACTATCTCTATGCTACCACATTCCTTTTACCAGTTCAGTCCTTTGCTGAGTACTTACTGTACACCAAGGCTCTGCTAATTCACAACAATCACTAACATCTTTTGGTGGATGGGTAATAACTGGCTTATTGATGTTAAATAACTTAACCACACACATCATAAGGAACTCAGCAGGA